CTAAGTCCACAGGGAAGAAGCACGCCACCATCAAGTCACCAAAGGATTGGAACCCACATAATCCGCAGTTGAAGGAGGGATCAGTATCAGAGCCTAAATTGTGAGATTCTGGTGTGCAGATGGTGATGGACGACAGTGGGAGCCCAAGAGTCATTTGTGGAACTACCTAGGAGAACTCCCTCTATCTAATATTCAGGGATGGGAGAAAGTGATCCCTAACCAGACTGCTTGGAAGAGAGGAGTATAGAAGATCACAGGCATCAATCTGGCCTGAACAGTTGAAACTTTGTCAGTAGATCCTCACTGTGATGCAGGCTGGACCTGATCTGGTTTCCAAAATGTTCTGTATTTCTGGTTTGTACAGTTTTGTTTTATCATACTAGACTGTATCTCAGAGGCATTATGTCAATGGAGGTCACCCTCTTGAAGCTCTATTATCTGGTTTTCTGGTTTTTGGTATATGAAACCCAGGATTGTAGAATAAGGAAGAGGAGGGGTGGGGGGGACAAATGTTAGTGGTGGGTTAAAAGGGAGAAGATGTCAGTGCATCCATGTAGAAAAAGAATGTTGGGAAACTGGTTGTGGTAGCAATTGTACCATTCTACTTGATGTGATTGAATTATGGAATTACTTGATATATGTATTAAATCCAAATGAATAATTAAAAAAGGAAGAAAATCATCTATATGCCTTCTTATTCTTTGTGGTTACCCGGGAATTTCCTGTGACAATTTCATTGGGAAACTTTACATCTTCCCCTCTAAAGCCCTGATTTGAAATTTCTTCAGACTTCCTTTTCTCACAAAGTTGGGGACATTTCAAAAGAGCATGGTTTGAGTTCCGTGGGATGGCAAAACAGAGTCCTGATAGTGCTATGTGTTCAGTGTTGGGCTCCTGTGGGACAGTGAATTACTTTACATGACTTTTCTAACCGTACTCTATGTTAATCTCAAGAAAGGATGCAGGTGGAACATGCAGACTTGGTTTATCTCCTACTTCCATGATGGGTTTGAATAAGAGAAGGTGGAAGATGATGCTGAGAAGATTAAATGTTTCAGTTGCTAGTGGTTCCGACCAGGGTTCATTATGATTGCAAAAAAATGGAACTCTAGTGTGAAAAACTGGTCAATTTTACCATACTGCTTCATATAAAATGAGCCAGCTCATAGGGGAAATTAAATTATCATAAAGAAATAAGAACCAATAGTCAAGAGTAGGTCCTTTGGACCTACAGTTCCTGTGTACTGAATCTCCTCAGTCCAAGACACAACTGGTACCCCAGAATGGTGGCAAAGCCTTAGTAGAGGAGGAGCTGCATGTCATCAAGAGCTAGCACACAGAAACCATGGTGTCCTTCCCGGCCCATGGAGTGAGTATAGCTGAGTGCCTTTGGCATACAGAGGTGCTTACAGACACTGCACTGGGGATATTATATTTGCTCACGCATGGAGCCAGAACTGAGCGCTCTTTGGCTAAGGCTTAGGGAGGAGCAGTGTGCCTTTTAAGCTTTCTGTAACATTGTACAAGTAGGCCAGGGGCCAAAGGACGATGTTAGTGAGAGACCATGGGTGAGAGAGAGGTTTATCTGTGAGGACAAGTGAGCAGAGATCTACCCTGATTGAATAAGAGCCCTATCCTAAGAACTTCTGACGTAAATTATGATTTACTGGATAATCATGAGTTTTGTCTGTGAGTTCAGCACGGTTGTTGCCATGAATAATGGAACAGAGTAGAGGAGCAGAGACTGCCTTGGGAAGGATGTTTGTGTAAGAATTGTGGAGAAGGGCATGTCTGACCTCAACCTCAAGGGAATCAGCCTTGGGCTCATTCCTTTCATTCCCTTTAAGCAATGTCACTTTACAACATCAGGGGAGCTGGATTGGGGAAAATTACAGGTAGTAGCCATGGAATGCGAGACTCAGAATAGGCATGATAAACCCTTTCAAGAGCCTGATGAGTGAGATTGGATTATGACCAGGACTGTTGAAAGTCACACATACTCAACACCTTAGAAATGCAGCAACTGGTTCTGGGGGAAGGTGAAGAGTTTCCCTAAGAATGACGCCCCCAAGCATATCAACCTCACAGCCTTCCTTGGCTCTGTGGTTGGGGAGTGGGAGAGGGAGGAGAGGGGGCAGCCACATGTGCATGAGATTGACAGACTAGGGTCCAAGGAAGTGATGGAGGCCATGACCACCTTGGAGACTGCTCTCATAGTGGTGGTGAGCATAGCTGGAGAAGTTGAAACATCTCACAGCCACTGGACCTTCAAGGTGGTCTTTGCTGAGCATATCAATGGTGAGTGCGAGCGGCACTTCTGCAAGAATGGACATGAGTTGAAGAAGGACGCTTTTACCAAGCACTGAAAGAAGTGGCAGGATGATGAGGCAAGACGTAGCTAGAGTGCACCCGCCCCCCAGAAGAATGTACTTCAGAGGACAGCACTGAAGCTACAGCTTGGAGATGGGCATATCTGATTAGAACATACAGGTGAAAGGAAGAGGGATGGAGCAGGATGGGAACGCATCCTGGCCCACCAAGCCCTGAGGATGATATTTCTGCTGAGAGCAGACAATGCACAGAGAGGATACAATGTCCCTCACTGAATCATAGCACTATGGGGGACAACACTACAGACACAGTGCAGGAACTGTGCCCAATCTGAGCCCATTACACTGGGGTGAAACAGTAAGGGCAGGCAACAGAGTGGCAAGGGGAACAAAGTGATGAAATCCCCGGGGAATACAAAATATAGAATTTGTAGACAGAGTGTGGCATCCCATCAGACTCATCTGGAAAACTCTAGTAAAGACCAACAAACAGAACTTGAACTATTTATAGGTTTTTTCCATTTTTTTGGTCACAAGATGTCTTTCTTTTTGTTGTTATTTTGTTTTAGTTATTGTTTAGTTGGTTTTGACTTCCTTTGTTGTTTTGTTTGGCTTTGCCTGTTTTGTTTTTTATTTTTGCCGTTAATACTGTCTCTGCATGTGTATCTAGATAAGATGGGTGAGATAAACAATTCGAAGATGATAGGAATGGGACTGATGGATCTGGCGGGATACAGGAGAAGGGGAGGTGGTAGAAAGGAAGGGGTGGGGGAAAACAACCCAGGGACAAGGGAACAACAAGTGAACTAAAATCAATTGAGTGAAGGGCGTAGGAGGCAAAGTGAGGCTTAATCAAAGGCAATGTAGCAACGAGGAATTTTTCAACCTAAATGAAGGCTGAACATGATGCTGGGACAAAAAGAAAGTAAAAGGAAATATAGAAAAGAACCAGGAGGCAAAGGACATTTATAGAGGTCTAAATACAGGCATCTACACATGTAAATATATTTATATATAATGAGAGGGGAATAGATCTATGTACTTATATGTATATGTTAAAAAATAAGGTTGCAGATATACATTGGGCCTCGACTAAAGTACCCCTTCAACACAAGAACACTTTCTTCTAATAATCTGGCTGGCATTCTGTGATGTCACCTGCCCAACACATTCACTGAAAACAAAATGGATACATAAGAAATTGTGGTGAAGAAAGCTGATGTTACCCAGGTATCAAAAGATATAGTGTCTGGGGTCTTAAAGGCTTGAAGATAAACAAGTGACCATTTAGCTGAGAAGCAACAAAGCCCACATGGAAGAAGCACACCAACCTGTGTGATCATGAGGTGTTCATGGGATCAGGTATCAGGCATCTAAGACCCAGAACAAAATCATTTCCAATGTGAATGGAGTCAGGGGGTGGGTCATGGAGTGGAGACTCAAAGCCTATCTGTAGACAATTGGACATCTACTCACAGAAGGGTCACAAGGAAGAGATGAGCCAGTCAGGGGGAAGTGTGACACCCATGAAACACACAAATTTCCTCTAGTTCCTTAATGCTTCCTTTCCCCCACTATCATGATCTGAATTCTACCTTACAACTTGGATTAGACTAGAACATGCACACTGCGACAGATAGAGTCTTAAACACAGGGAATCCAGAATAGATAACCTCCTGAGGGCCAATAATGTGAATAGAGATACCAGGAGGATAAGGGAAAGGTGGTGGGGAGAAAGGGGGAATCAATTAAAGAATCAACATAACCCCCTCCCAGGGGAACAAACAACAGAAAAGTGAGTAACGGGGGACAGAGGACAATGTAAGATATGAACATAATAATCTATAATGTATCAAAGGTTCATGAAGGAGGGTTGGTGAGAGGGAGAAAACGAGGAGCTGATATCAATGGCTCAAGTAGAAAGAAAATGCTTTGAAAATGAAGATGACAGCATATGTACAAATGTGCTTGACACAATGGATAGTTTTATGGATTGTGATAAGAGATGTAAGAGCCCCC